AACTACTCATGCAGAGAATGGAACGATCGATGGATTACATTATCAATTTTCACCGAAAAGTGAGACTGTAATTGCATCCTTATTTGCAGATCAGCGCACCATGTTGGCACGAGCTTATCAAGCAACAGCTGAGGCAATGCTTAATGAATCTGGTCCCTGTCTATTGGGATATACACACCTCGTGGCTCGCTTGCTTGGCTTAGATCGGTCATCATGCTCCGCCACCCAGATGATGGCTGCGGCTTCAGTAGGACCCTGTCACTCGGATGCCGTCGGTCGGTTGCTGCGCGCACACCACAAACTTGTGTCTCAATGGAGGCAGGCAAGTTGCGTCTTTTAAAGCTTGGCAACTGCCTCCAGAAGTAACAAAGTTTATCTGCTTGAATGCATAATATTTCCTAGCTTTCAAAATATCTTTTGTTTAGTTTGACATTTGTGCCTGAGAAATGATCAAATAGGTAAGGAGGTATGCGAATTCTTAAAGCAAAACCTAATTATATTATAGAAATGAAGACAAAGATGGTGTGTCCTCTTGTGTGGTCACAGTCTCTTTTCGTTGTATAGAAGTTGTTTGACCTTGTTTTCGCAACTCGGTCATATTGGTAGCAAGACTTAGAGGAACACACTTAGTCCGGAGTCCAGTGTATGCATGATCATTTCTAAAGTGGGACCGTGGATGTGGTACATTCTCAGGCGTTTCACCGACATCGACAGTGAGTCTTGCCATTCTTAGCACTATACAGCAACTCGTCAAAGAGATTAGTAAGCCGATCCTTTGACCAAATGTGTGCTAAAATGTTGTGGTATCGCTCCTTCCACCCTGGGCTATTCACCTATCCTATATCCTCGTATCACGCCTTCCCTATCATAATTTCTTTTTTAATTATTTAAATCTAGTGCGCTGTGTCTTTTTGAGCGGCTTTCATGAGAACCCTACACATTTAACGCTGGCGTTCTCAACCCTTTCACCCTTGTACTGGGAATGCTGATCAGAGTTTGCCATATTTTTACGCAGTCCTCCTTCCCTAGGTCTTATCAAGCTCCCTTTTGCCCCTTAGGATCCGTCTGCTATCTGCCTGGTTAAAGTATTTCACTCGATCCCTGCCACCCCATCTGTGCTGCTTGAGGCGTTATTACCCATTCCCTGCGTCTGGGTGACTAATTCGAGAATAAAGCCTCCGAGTAATTCTTATGTTCAGGCCTTTGCTACATGGACCAAGTCTATGGTAAAACAGGCCTACTGTCAGTCAGCTAGCTTCAATCTCCGCCGCGCAAGCATGACAGAAAAAAGAACAAAGTTGGAAGCTTGCTCCTTGCTTGTGTACATGTATGTGTCCAAGTCCTAGAGCACCAGCTATATTTTTAAGTGATTTCAAAAGAGACATCTAGGTTTGATGACTAAAATAAACTAATGTGTCTCATTGCGTACTCCCGAATACACGTCTGGTTGAGCTATCTAGCTGACTAGATATGCATAATCCATTTCTATATACTAAGAACCACCATTGAGCCAATTAGTCTAGTTAACCCTTTTTTGTGGTAGCCCAGTATCATTATCATTAAGTCGATTAAACAAACTTGACAAGTTGTGACTTGACTTCCTATCTCCACTACTTAAATTAAATGCATTCACCAATATGTCGATTTCAGTATCCTTTTATTCTGCATTAAGAAGCAGACATGTCCTAATCGGCAAACCGAAAGTATTGAAAGGAATTTGTCTCAACTAGTTTCTTCCATATTCTCTAACAATTATGAACGTTGGGCCTAACAACCTCTACAAATATTTTTGTGTTCAGCTAAACTTTAGAAAATAGGGGAAATTTCTTCATCAGCGTAAGAGCTAATTCATGAGATCACGGTCTTCTAAAACAGCATCTGGATACGGGTTATTTTAACCCTTGCTATAGGCGAAGAAAGCATCGGGATTCATTTAAAAGTCGATTTATCTTGAAATTATTTACCATTTATTTCAGCTTTTTAAGAAGAAGATATGGTATTTAATAAATTTCGAAAGTTTAAATGATCACTAATACATCTAAAAAAGGCAAAGTGTTGTTGACCTCCATCTCCATTGTCAACTTTATATTGCAATCAAACTGGTTAATTAAAAACAAGAAAATATCTAAACTATTCTTGCCATGCTGCCATATAGCAAAGTAATCATCCATATATCTAACTAAAAGTTTGGGTGTCAATCTTACC